GGTAGCATAATAATCTGTGATCACATATATCGCACACATATGGCTTTTCTCCCGTGTGAGTGCGCATGTGGTCCTTGAGGTTACCAAGGGTAGCATATCTGTGATCACATATATCGCACACATATGGCTTTTCTCCCGTGTGAGTGCGCATGTGGTCCTTGAGGTTACCGAGGGTAGTATTTCTGTGATCACATATATCGCACACATATGGCTTTTCTCCCGTGTGAGTGCGCATGTGGTCCTTGAGGTTACCAAGGGTAGTATTTCTGTGTTCACATTTATCGCACGCATACGGCTTTTCTCCCGTGTGAGTGCGCATGTGTAGCTTGAGTCTACCAGGCGTCCTACACCTGTACGCACACGTGTCGCACGCATACGGCTTTTCTCCAGTGTGTATACGCATGTGTCTCTTGAGATCACGGCAGTTCCTAAACTTGTATTCACAAGTGTCGCACGCAAATGGCTTCTCTCCGGTGTGAGTGCGTATGTGTACCTTGAGATTACCGAGGGTAGTATATCTGTGATCACATATATTGCACACAAACGGCTTTTCTCCTGTGTGAGTGCGCATGTGTTTCTCGAGCTCAGTGGAAAGCCTACACATGTATTCACAAGTGTCACATGCAAATGGCTTCTCTCCCGTGTGATTGTGCATGTGCACCTTGAGACTACCGAGGGTCGTGTATCTGTGTTCACATATATCGCACGCATACGGCTTTTCTCCCGTGTGAGTGCGCATGTGTAGCTTAAGTCTACCAGGCGTCATACACATGTACGCACACGTGTCGCACGCATGCGGCTTTTCTCCAGTGTGTATACGCATGTGTCTCTTGAGATCACTGCGGTTCCTAAACTTGTATTCACAAGTGTTACACGCAAATGGCTTCTCTCCCGTGTGAGTGAACATGTGATTCTTAAAACGATCTAGCTTGGAGCTGGCGTATCCACACACATCACACAGGTGGCACTTCTCTCCTCCCGGGCGTGGCATATCTGAACGAGAAGGCTCCATCAGACAGATCGCTTTGTGGGATTTCGAGCCTCTTGCGTACGCTCTCCTGCTGGGAAAAAGATGTCGAAATAAATATCATCATTGACGCACTGCAACACTGCATGTCACTGCCCCGGACGTAACAAGGTATATGCTACAAAGATGGGGCCATGGCTACAAACGCACCAGTGGTTCAGTTATGCTGAAGATGGATCAACACTGCAGATCGCAGTAGAAAATGCCTCAAAATTGCAACTAGCTAAAGAGAGAATTCCAATATGGAATGACAGAGACAAAGACATGCGTCTAAACAAAGGAATGGCTCCGACCTGGAAGATAAAAATAGAATTTGTGACGTTTCGTTTTCATTTTGCATACTCCCCCGCCGCATATGCTATACTGGTAGGAAAGTGTACTAACTATCATAGGGCGTGAACGATTTCTATAAATTCTAGCTATTATAAACACATGTCTTAGCCATAATGACATTGGGATTATGTATGGGGAGTACGCAACGTAGTGCAGAGAGTCAGCATTCGCGCCAACGTTAGGCTTTTCTTTTGCAGTGAGGAGTTGTTTACCGTAGATAGGAGAGTTATTAGTGGTGCAATAAAATTTATTATACATTATTCTTATTTTTACTAATTTGTTGGAACTGCCAGTGGGACTGGCCACCGCTGGGATCAGAGGACGACAGCAAAATTCTTTCCTGGAATTGAGGAAAAGCTGCAATCGGGAATGACACACAATGAGCGTGCTGGCACGCAAAATTTATATAAACGTTGCGTGAATTTCATTACGATTTTCTATGTATATACTGTAATATCAGGAGTGTATAATATCGATATAATATATCTCTCTATATAAGGCCCACACGCGCTCAGCACACATGCGCTCACGCACACACGCGCTCACGCACACACGTCGCGCACACGCGTTCACGCGCTCACGCACACACGTCGCACACACGCGCTCACGCACACACGTCGCGCACACGCGCTCACGCACACACGATAAAAAAAAATCGTGAGCCCCTTAGGTCTTTGCCCCCCCCCCAATCCAAAACTGCTTCCGGCGCGCCTGTAATATTTATATAGAACGCGTCTTTGTATATATAGAAGCAAAAGTTTTAATAACAGAAATAATGAGAAACCCATATTCACATATTTCCCGTCCCGGAGCATAGGTCCTACTTTTTTCCGCACGTTCCGGAGGCCCCCTCTCGCAAACATGTCCAGTTCCGGAGCATCATGCTTTCCAGCAAACCCTAGTTCCGGAGACCCGCATTTTGATGTGCTGAGTTAATACCGGAGAACCCCCTATTCCATCTCTCAAGTGGCACATACCTACCCTATTTTGTAGGGAGTGCTCCCCCCTGGGGGTCCTACTCTCACCTTCCCGCGACCGGAAAGGTTACTGCATAGACATGCAGAATCGAGACTGGCGTGAAGTTCTCTGCGCAGCACTATCCATCACATGCGAGTGCGCAGCGGTCCGGCACGTCGAGGACGTGGATCCAGTCTATCTCAGCGATTTTCCGCTGATACTGATAGACAATAGGATTGTAATCGGATATCCTTTCGCAGTTCATCACGAGGTTGTTAGAGATTTTGCGCGCGCACACACACATGCACACACGTGCGCGCACACACACACATGCACACACGTGCGCGCGCACTCACACGTGCAGCCCCCCCCCACCACCACATGTGCTCACATAAAACACACAATCTATAAGTACATACCAACATGTGACGTTTGTATTTATGACAATAGATGTACTGAAAGAAATTACAATTTCGAAAAAATTTCCCCCAAAAAAACATTACATAACCCATTACATAACCTATACATGCAACATGCAACGTGACGTATCACGCCACAGGCATTCTTGTAATGATATCTGAATATATTATAGGCTCTCTAATCTCACCGACAGTGGATTGGCCAGCCGCTATCCAGATAGTATACAGAGATCAGTAATGTCATTTATATACTTCACAATACTCTACTATAAGCTATGAAGGAAGGCAGCGCGATATCGCGGCAGGCAGCAGGATTGTTTTAGACGATGTGATACTGTCATGCTATACGATTTGATGTAAGTCCTAGTTTCTGTATTCGCCCTGCATAGATGCGTGTATCACTCGCTCGGTTTTGAGTGAGTGCGCCGGTGTCTAGTCAGTGAACTGCGGGCAGCAAACTTGCATCCACACTTGTCGCACGCATACGGCCTCTCTCCCGTGTGAGTGCGCATGTGTGGCTTAAGCATACCGAACGTAGAACACTTATATTCACATCTCTCACACGCAAATGGTTTCTCTCCTGTGTGAGTGCGCATGTGTACTTTGAGAATGCGAAGGGTAGCATATCTGTGATCACATATATCGCACACATATGGCTTTTCTCCCGTGTGAGTGCGCATGTGGTCCTTGAGGTTACCAAGGGTAGTATTTCTGTGTTCACATATATCGCACGCATACGGCTTTTCTCCCGTATGAGTGCGCATGTGTAGCTTGAGTCTACCAGGCGTCCTACACCTGTACGCACACGTGTCGCACGCATACGGCTTTTCTCCAGTGTGTATACGCATGTGTCTCTTGAGATCACGGCAGTTCCTAAACTTGTATTCACAAGTGTCGCACGCAAATGGCTTCTCTCCGGTGTGAGTGCGTATGTGTACCTTGAGATTACCGAGGGTAGTATATCTGTGATCACATATATTGCACACAAACGGCTTTTCTCCTGTGTGAGTGCGCATGTGTTTCTCGAGCTCAGTGGAAAGCCTACACATGTATTCACAAGTGTCACATGCAAATGGCTTCTCTCCCGTGTGATTGTGCATGTGCACCTTGAGACTACCGAGGGTCGTATATCTGTGTTCACATATATCGCACACATACGGCTTTTCTCCCGTGTGAGTGCGCATGTGTAGCTTAAGTCTACCAGGCGTCATACACATGTACGCACACGTGTCGCACGCATGCGGCTTTTCTCCAGTGTGTATACGCATGTGTCTCTTGAGATCACTGCGGTTCCTAAACTTGTATTCACAAGTGTCACACGCAAATGGCTTCTCTCCCGTGTGAGTGAACATGTGATTCTTAAAACGATCTAGCTTGGAGCTGGCGTATCCACACACATCACACAGGTGGCACTTCTCTCCTCCCGGGCGTGGCATATCTGAACGAGAAGGCTCCATCAGACAGATCGCTTTGTGGGATTTCGAGCCTCTTGCGTACGCTCTCCTGCTGGGAAAAAGATGTCGAAATAAATATCATCATTGACGCACTGCAACACTGCATGTCACTGCCCCGGACGTAACAAGGTATATGCTACAAAGATGGGGCCATGGCTACAAACGCACCAGTGGTTCAGTTATGCTGAAGATGGATCAACACTGCAGATCGCAGTAGAAAATGCCTCAAAATTGCAACTAGCTAAAGAGAGAATTCCAATATGGAATGACAGAGACAAAGACATGCGTCTAAACAAAGGAATGGCTCCGACCTGGAAGATAAAAATAGAATTTGTGACGTTTCGTTTTCATTTTGCATACTCCCCCGCCGCATATGCTATACTGGTAGGAAAGTGTACTAACTATCATAGGGCGTGAACGATTTCTATAAATTCTAGCTATTATAAACACATGTCTTAGCCATAATGACATTGGGATTATGTATGGGGAGTACGCAACGTAGTGCAGAGAGTCAGCATTCGCGCCAACGTTAGGCTTTTCTTTTGCAGTGAGGAGTTGTTTACCGTAGATAGGAGAGTTATTAGTGGTGCAATAAAATTTATTATACATTATTCTTATTTTTACTAATTTGTTGGAACTGCCAGTGGGACTGGCCACCGCTGGGATCAGAGGACGACAGCAAAATTCTTTCCTGGAATTGAGGAAAAGCTGCAATCGGGAATGACACACAATGAGCGTGCTGGCACGCAAAATTTATATAAACGTTGTGTGAATTTCATTACGATTTTCTATGTATATACTGTAATATCAGGAGTGTATAATATCGATATAATATATCTCTCTATATAATATATAAATTATATATATATATATTTATATAATATTATATAGATCTCTATATTATTATTATACACTCCTGGTAATATGATATGCACTGAACCAAAAATAGACATTAACAGCTCATAGATTGCAAGTAAATTTTGGACAAGTAAAATCTAAACAAGTGCCGCAGTGCGACAGGGCTCATCTGGTGTCTGGTGTTCTGCTGATAAATTCATTTGTGCATAGCAAGACGTCTTATACACAAGTCTTCTTTATTCTTGTTTGACTTTCGTAGCCAATGGGGTTAGCCGCTAAAAACAGTTGCCGTTGGAGGGCAGCACATCTGCAGAGGTGAAGATTATAATAGATAGTGCACGGTGATATTAGTGGTGCATATGTGGGTGTTTATTCTTTTGTGTGTGCTCATTGTTAAGGTGTGCTTCATGAATTCCAACTTTAGGCGAGCTATTGTCTCCAGTAATGCCTAGTGTCTGTAGTAAATGGCTGCGTTTTAGAAATAAAGATATACATAATTTGTATTGCAACTTGAGTCTTTGTAGCTTTACTAATCTCAATAAACATATTACATAACTCCTGAGCACACACAAGAATAAACACCCACTTCACAAATGCACCACTAATATCACCGTGAATCTCAATAAACATATTACATAACTCCTGGCTAACGCTCCATTAGGAGTGTTTCCAACTTTGATATCATTAATGATTATGATTAATGATTGATAATCCTAACCCTAACCCTAACCTAAATGACATTCACCACAAACTAATATATGACCATGACCATATATATATATATATATATAATATATTATAATATATATATTATGACCATTAATGACATTAAGTTGGGAACACTCCTAATAGAGTATCACCCTAACTCCTGTGCACACACAAAAGAATAAACACCCACTTCACATATGCACCACTAATATCACCGTGAATCTCAATAAACATATTACATAACTCCTGAGCACACACAAAAGTAAACACCCACTTCACATATGCACCACTAATATCACCGTGAATCTCAATAAACATTACATAACTCCTCAGACACACAAAAGAATAAACCCAACTTCACATATGCACCACTACTATCACCGTGAATCTCAATAAACATATTACATAACTCCTGAGCACACACAAAAGAATAAACACCCACTTCACATATGCACCACTAATATCACCGTGAATCTCAATAAACATATAACATAACTCTCAGCACACACAAAAGAATAAACACCACTTCACATATGCACCACTAATATCACCGTGAATCTCAATAAACATATTACATAACTCCTGAGCACACACAAAAGAATAAACACCCACATATGCACCACTAATATCACCGTGCACTATCTATTATAATCTTAACCTCTGC